CACAAATCTTCCTGAATAAAATGTGCAGCATGTTTGCAGTTACTGTGTTGTGTGCTACTTATATTGACATAAGTAGTATATGATGTTAGTCGTGAACAAAACGTCTGGCAGCAGAGAGACAAGAGGATCGAACAGTAAAGAATGGGAACAGAATGCAATTTGTATGAGAATGCAAGAACAATGAAGTCTGAGTCTTTATGAGACAACTGGTGGACATTTGCAAATTAAGCATTTACTTTATGATTGTTCACTACAATACAACTATGCCATTATTACTAATAATTAAATGAATAACAGAATGTTTGATGTCAAAACATATTTAACCGATGGAAATTAAAGACCCAATAACACAGCTGGAGATAAAATCACTTGATAACTGTTAGTCAGAAATATGTGTATTCTCATTTCAGAAATTAGAAAACGAATACATCATTTTGCATGGAATAACCTCTAGACGCTACTCAACTACCTAGTTACATGTGTGAGTGTCGATCTTACCAGTTGTGCTTTCTTGTTAATTGCCAAGAATGATGTATCGTTTCATCAACCAAATGATACAAGAATTAAACTTACAAATACTTACATTACTTATCAAATTTTCGGTCCCTTCTATTATTGGTCGTAGAATACACAGTAAGAATTGATATTTACATTCCATCCGCTTTTTAAGCAACGTTGTTAAGTTATTAGTAAGAAAACTTTATACTCATCATCTCATTTAATTTCAAATATCAACCTTTAAACTCCCTATTTTGTAAAGTTACTTCTACCTAATGAGATCTAACTCATACCCCTCATATTTAACAATAAGTATAATAACCAATTTTATTAGCTTCTATAAGGATCACCAGTTGATTGAAGAATGCAAACGGATTTGTATGTTAAAATTAAAAGTTGAGATTACAAAGATATACTTCTTTTCAATTAGTTTCTTGTCATGGTTCTACACTGGTGTTGAAGTGGAACTCTACAATCAGACGAATACATATTCATATTTCTGAACACATATTACTTCAAACGATCATTTATGATTAGTGAATTACACTTTTGTTCTAGTCACTTTTGAGCACATACTTTATGACTTCATATCAGTTTGTGGAAACTGCATTATTCTCATTGTTTATATGAACAGCTGAAATATTCTGGAAGATTACAAACGAGCTGAATGTAATGATAGTCTTTTTAGTATGATGCTCGTCATCAGTGTGAATACACCGACGTGTAGCCTGCACTGGTATCCAATTATCTCGAGCTCGATTGAGATCGATCAATTTCTAGACCAGTGAGTATGCATCGTAAACTATACACGTCTAACTTCGATTAATTTGTGGATTTGTGAAACATTCCATGCATCATGTTAGGCTGATATTTATCTCATAATCGACACATATTTCACTCCATCGTTCACGACTTCTGATGAATGCATTTCTGTTGGCTACATTTTCAATTTCTTCAGTAATGTGCTTAACATAAATATCAGTTCTTGAATTTTGTCAAATATGGATTTCGTTCTCATTTTACTTGACTGTGCTTTGTTCATTTTACTTTCATAAATTATCATCATTCTTTGCACTGTACTTTCTATTTTGTTTGAGCTTTGTCAATGTTTCTTCTCCTCTCTATTGCTTACAGCACACTAATCTGTTATATCCGAGCGAAGATTAAATCACGAGTAACTTCTGAGACATATTAATTGACTACTATGCTCAGTTTATTGACTACTGTCTCCCACGTTTATAGTCACTTTTTGGCTTTATTGCGTACAAATGTTATTTCCTATTTTATGGTGCATTGCGGTCTGTTCGGTGGATATATAAACCGAGTATGTTTGAAATAAATGATTCATATTGCAGAATCTGGTATTGTGTTCTGGACTCAAGCGGATGGGCTAAGCGGACAATAGGACCAATAAGGACGCTAGGCTACTCATACCGGTCGAACGTCATTGGTTTGACATAGGGCTAGGATTGTATAAGTCCTATTTTGATTGTTGGATAAATCACGTGATTAAAGCCGGACATAAATTCATAACATAATCCTACATGCTTTTGATTTTGCACTAGATCGGTAGATATTTTATCGCTTAACTGGCATCCAACTTATTTCTTGTCCGGTTTATATGAACTTTCTTTGATGTATAAGATATACTTTTCTACCTAATAAATATTTTGTTTTCTTTATCATATTTCACACATTTGGTTTGTAATATGCTCAGGCATTTGAACTTTTGTGTTTGTTTATCTTTCTACACAGTGTTTTTATTAAGATTATTCTGTTTTGTATAATTTGATAGTTTAGCATTATCTACTTTACCATTTAGTTTTATAGATCAATGATCTTAATAAATTTTTATGTGATGGAATTTTTGAAATCCATAGAGCTAATATATCACGGTGTTCTGCTAATATCTGTTTTTCTATCACATTGTTTCTGTCTATTGACGAGACTCGATTCTCCGTTGCAAATTCAAGACCTGATACGATGGGTGGCAAGTTCGACTTGTGGTGATTTCTTAGGTGATGCACTTTGAACTGCCACATAATTAGATGATTCTAGGAATCTTATGAGCCTCGCTTTGACCATTCTCATCAATCATTTCGATAAGATACTCTCATTTCAGCTAATTCTGTGTAACGTCTATCCTGATCAACTTAACGCCTTTGAGTCAAACTCTTCTCATTTATTGAAGATTCAGCATCACTTTATTCAATTCAGTGATCGCTGCATGTATCAAAATTAGCATCACTTCTGGAGCAAAAACAGGTGATTGTGCAAGCAGATGTTTCAAAACTTCTCTGACTGTGTTATAACTAGTTGAATGGTCCATCATAATACATACTGTAACGAGACCGCAAGTTCTCAAATACTCTACCACTGAGCCGGCACACAATACAGTTAGTTTCCAACTTTATGAATTCCATATATCCATGTTTACTTGATGAGCTTTCGAGCTAAATAGAGATAAATATCATTAGATTGCTAAATTTACTAAGTGTCCTTTTTTAAAGCCTCGTGACTTCCGAAGAATCTTGGCTGTCATCATGAGGTGTAATAATTCTTTCATCAAAGAGTGCAGAGTTTAGATTATTAAGATTTTTTAGTTTGGTAAACGTTTTATGAGCAAGGTCGTTTTCTGAGGGATGGGGTTGCCGACATTATGACTAACCCCATATTTCACCCAGACTTGAGACCACCAGTAGCCCTAGAACAGCTACAAACGGATTTAGAGTACAGTGTATAGTCCTACTAAATTCTGTCAGGTCATAGTGAAGCGTATGTTGTCGTTTAACAATTACTTTTATTTTTACATTCATCAGTGATGATCAGTTCCGAATTCCTATTGAAATACTTATAGTTTGGCTTTAAGCCAAGAAAATGAAAAAGCTATTTCAGTCTATTTTTAAACAGTGGTTGTTTCTGGCACATATCACATATTTCTAGCTTGTTGTTATGATCATCATTAACATGGTCTCATTCATAATGAGTATGAGTTTGTAATATTTTTAAATGTAACAATGGTATTTACTAATTAGATTATTTGTATCTTTTCATATACTGGTCACCTTACTTTTACGATATGATCTTAATCATTGACTGCAGGTAATTGAACAGAGAACTGATTGTATGTAGCATTATTAATTATGAAATGACCCGATGAATGCTTAGTAATTACCATATTTAGATTACGAGTAGTGACAATTCACCTTCTCTTTCTATACTTGGCTTACTGTGCAGGTGAATTAGATAAATTTTTTCTTAGAAATAAGATTCCAAATTTGTCACTGTTTTCGATAATGACAAGTAACTTATCGTGAATAATAACCAAACAAACAAGACTTACTTACTTACCTACTTAAGCCTGTTACCCCTCATGGAGAAGGATAGGCTGCACACTAGGATTCTCCATCAAACTTGGCCTGAACAATACTTTCCAGTTGTTCCCAATTGTTATTTTTATCCTATTAATGTCTGCTTCCAATTCCCAGCGCAGTGTGTTCCATGATCTTCTTCTTTTCCGTTTGCCTTCAGAATTCAAAGTTAGCACTTGTCTCGTGATGCAGGTTGATGATTACATCATTGTGCGTCCTATCTATTTCCATCATCTTTTCCTAATTTCCTATTAAACTGGAACCTAGTTTGTTCTCTCTTACAGTAGACGGTTTCTGATAGTATCCAGCCAACAGTCTTTGAGTGTCTTGCGTAGAAAAATGATTATATGTGCGTGTAGCATTTTAATGATGGTTGTGTTATTTCTCCAAGTTTCACATCCGTATAGTAGAACTGCCTGTAGCTCTTCTAGAGTTACTGGCGGTCCCAAGCCCGGGTAAAGGAGGAGAGTTTGGCATGAGGTTAGCGATCCCATCCCGTAGAAAACTAACTCGCTAAAAAAATGCTAACCAGAAAAAAGTTTGCTTGTACTATGAATGAACTAAGTGTATATGAAGGTGAGACTGAATGAATGGTATTTTGACAAACTTAATTTTGTACATCAGCGCAACTTCATCTGGTATGAGGCTTTCACATAATCATTTGTTTCAACACAGTTTAAAATATTTTAGCCGGAAACTGAATAAGCGCATACGCAAAGTAACAAGGAAAGTGTGAGCAGAGTAAAGTGAAGATGGACGGTGTTGTAAATTTTTCATTTCGAGTTCTCATATGACACTCGTGCGTCATACTAGAAGAGGTGGTCAACAAATGAGAAATAAGATGATGGATTTATCGCAGATTGAATGAACATTTGTTTGGACCCTGTCTCGTTATAAGTGATGGTTACTATTATTATTTTTCAAATAATGGTCACATTCACATTGGTTTTGACCTTGATATAGTTTTAAAATGTGGCATCGACTGATAGGATGAATTCATTCTTTTCACTTGCCAATCATATACGTTTTAATTGTGAGTGAAAGACACATTATAATTGTATTTAAACAGACATCAGAATGCAAACTGTCTAATTGACTTCAGAAAACGTTGGTGAATTACGGAGTACAAATATGTTTAGGCCACAAGGAGCAGTTGTTTGGTTTTCCTTCTTTTTCCTGGTCTGGAATGCAGGTAAGACTCAAACATTTTTATATGGGCGTCACCATCTTTATTTTTATTCATATGACTATGTACATGACATAGATAATCACTCAGCAATCGTGACATTAGTCACTAGTCATTAGTATGCGTTGATGAGCACCTATCAAGTTGTGAAAGATGTTGACATGTATTCGGTTCCTACACAGAGCACCAGTTCTCTTGTGATCACAATACACTTCACCTATAAGTATTAATCAGCATATAATCATAATACGTTCTTCTTCCTTGTGACTAATTGCGAAAAACTTACTGGTAACCTAAGAAGTCGAATGTTTTAATAGTCTACAGGCCTCAAGAAAGCCTTGCTCAAGTCATAGTCCATGTACCGCGAGCATTTTGAAATATGCTAACACGACGATATCGGGAAGCAATATTCCTTGAGCAAACTGCATGACAAATACTTAGATTACGTGATACAATATGACCACAGCATCATTTGTAATACTTCCCGGTTTATTATCTTTACTGAGGAACCATAAAAAAGTACTACTTCAACGACTGAACTTTTAAGTCAATCTTCTTTGGTCGATGTAAACAGTGAAAGAATATCCTGATTGAACGCGTAGTGAAAAGGTTGACTTTACTTCATATTTGCCGTTGCTAGAAGTGAATGCATGTTTTGAATCTAGAAATTTGATGAAATTTCGAAGTGGAGATAACATGAAGTCAGGCGCCATGAGTGCACGTTTTCTGACAGAGATCATTGTTTATTCAGATCTGTATGCATACAACTAAAATATGAGACTCCGATCAAGCAATATTAGACTAAAAAAAATTGAAGATTGCACAGGTTATAAACTCCCATTTATGAGGAAGGAAAGACCACAAAATAAATGAGTGTCAATAAATAAATGTGATGATTTGTTCAGCTCTACTCTGTCAAATTGAAAGTCTAATGAGAATCCAATTGACACCTCATTCTTATGAATGAACATTCTTCTGAATAGTCTAACTTACAAAACGATAAAAATTCATGCCTAAACATGACTTACGAAACAGAACAGTAGTAGGGGAATTGAAGTCTCGTCATTCGATCAAATATTTTCATGCAACTGAGATGGTAAAAATCGGCTGGTTATTCGAAAACGAGAACTATGAATAATGAACGACTAAATTTCCTGTGAAATTTTTCCAATTTTTAGTTCGAATCATGGACTGATCTTAACTGGGCTGTCAGTGTTGACCAGAGAACACCGAACTAGTGGTTCGTTCTAGTATAGAACCTCAGAGCAATAAACAACAACTGTTCACACACAAATTGTACTCGTGAACACTTCACTAGACTGTGTCGCCACCCAGTGTTTCATATCCCGTACCACAGTCAGTCTACACTGTTGTCGCTCCATGGTTTACAGTGTAATGTAAGTAAACTATGTGTACTTCTTGCGTCTGTAAAAACACTTGTGATGAGTTAACGGATGAACTTCCACATCAGTCTCGTTGGAGATGAAGTTGTCAACAGGAAAACATATTGATGACACTCAATCAAAGCACATTGGATCGCACATCACATGGAATAGCATTTGATGTTGTCCAATTGATCATAGGTTTTCACAGGAAGACATGAGAGACTCTGTTGATTTTCACAAATATTTGAACTTTGATTTCAATATACATGAGTTTAATGCGCAGTAGGTCAATAGGATCACAGTAGACGTGTTTGACTGATTGATGAAGTAACTGTCTATTGATGTGAATATGTGTGTGATGATATTGCTTTGGAACGGAAGACGAAAATCAGTGATTTCAACAAATTTATCCCACGATGTTATGCAAAACCAAACAGCTCATATTATTCAGAATAATTCTTGATAAACATGTGCCTAACTTGTTCAGTGGTTGGAGCTCATTCTCAGGAAACCCTAGAACCATTGTTCATATTGATAGCCACTCGTCAACGAAATCTGTCTGAAAGATTGAAGGAAGTGTTGCATTACCGTAGATTGTACCCCATATAAAATAGCTCCGAAATCTGTGATGTCAACAATGAGCTATTCTTCAACAGCTAAACTCCTGTCTATACGCGAATTATTTGTTTAGTGAATACTGTGTAGTGGTTATCTCACTCAATGTTCAATGCCCTTAGTAAAGTTATGTGGACGTGACGCTAGTCCTTACTCATTGATCAATCACTTGTTGTGTCTATTTGCCAGTAAACTAATTAAGCGTTTTTTAATTCAGGTGAATGTGTCGTCTCCATAATTTTCATTGTTTTGTTTTTTTGTTGACAGCGCAGTTTCTTGAGTTTACAAGTGCAGGTAAGTTAGTTGGACAGTAATCTCATCTGATGAATTGCACTTCCATCACGTGTCGTGTTAAATGTTAATCGAATCAGGTTTAATTCTATGTATATCGAATAAATCATGCAGTACAATTTAAATGCATGTTCAGTAGCATCACATATTTTGCTCTTACACTCGAATTACGGCGCACATCATCATGATTGATGATTTTTATGGGTTCTGTTTGGATGAGAATTGAAGTGTGCATCTCGATTTTGTTTAGCTGAACGCATTCTTGTTTTAGTTCATTCATTTAATGACTTCTGAATAATTATCGAATATTGGATCGCTCAGTTTGGGTGCGTTCAAACTATTTCATAAAAAATTAGTCTATCCATTATGAGCATGATGAGACTTGAATAAATGGTCGTCTAAACTGTTAGTGTCTCCTGATCAGCATATAAACAATACGAATTTCACAGTGATACTGACGGATTATTGTGAATGATGTACATTTTCCTCCACGACAACCATGCTGACGTTTTCAATTATTTTCGTGTCCATATTATGCTCTCATCTAATATGTTTGAATTCCGGTTTGTTTTAGATATCGCTGTGATGAAACTCTCTGTCTCCGTTAAGGAGTGGGATGAACTGATTGGAAAGAATGATGTAAGAGAATCCCTAGAAGTTTTGGATGGATATTGTGCAAATGTAAGTCTAAAAGTTATCACTCGAGTTCTTTGACATGAAGCGTCGTGAAGGATAACATTATGCGAGTTATTTTACTTCAATCGATGTCCATATATTGGCCACATGAATCTTTGAGTGAACCTGCACATCGATATGGTAAACGCGCAACAATTAATGTTAAATAATGTGTTGTAATGGGACGTGTACATTGATGTGAAAATTTGTAAAATACGTAAAAAGCGAACTTTATTACCGAAGGGTAAATGTTGAATATCACTATGATACAGTGTTAGGTTATTGTCACTCCGGGTAACCATTTTTGTGACTGGACATAAATATCCAAATATGAATAATTATATGAACACCCATAAAATTTGCGTTTTGAGTTAGAATGATCACTTTCATAAATACTTCAACGAAATAATTTGACCGATTCATGTGATTTCTTAAAGGTTGTGAATGTGGTGAAGGAATTGGAGCCAAAACTGAATTCCGTTACTCTGTCATGTGACATCCATCCATTACAAAAACCAAATAATATTCATGCCGAAACCATCAATGTTCAACTTGCCGTGTTCACGAGCGAAATGGAAAAAGTATATTCATCAGAAACGTGGTTTCCATCGTTGAAGAATGCACTTGAATCGGGTACTGTGAATGTGGATAGCACGTGGATAACTAGTGAGTGAATCGCCAATGCATGTCAGTTTTCTTGTTGATATCCACACTTGATCAATATGTAATGTGTTTAGTTGAGTTGACATCGCTTATAGTTTTCAGCACTAAGTAAATATACTGTACTTCATTTCAGAAATCGTTTCAGTGAGTGGTAAGTTCACGATAAATTCTGTCGTTTGTGTGTATTGTAAAATTTGTTGATATCAGTGATACTGTAAAATATTGATAACATCAGTCTGTCAACGTAATGTGTGACTTTCAGAAGTGATAGATGTGTAGTGGTATGTAAACATGGGTCGTGAAATGTGTGCAAGAGGCAGCCTGTTATCATCAAGCGCAAAATAATATTTATTTTGACTTGTAGATCCGGAAGCCTTTAGCGATGGTAAGTTGTCCCGTATATGAGGCAGTTGTTTTGAAATTTAAATCTCCTGTTATCATTTTATGATCTCAACTGAGGTGTGTAAAAGTGACTGGATGAAATGTGTTCGTTGCTTTGTTTGTGAATGTTGTGTGAACTGAATGATGCTAACAAACTGGCCGTAATATCGATGATGTGACTGTAGTGAAATTATATAGTTTATTGGATAGGTCGGAGAACGGTCGACTCGTGAAGGCCTTGTGAATCGATCTCCACAATTTGATCAGTCAAAAGCTCCTGATATTTACATGCTTGTAAAGGCGTTCAACACACAAACACTCTGACATTTAATTCTTACCGAGGAATCAAGTGATTGATTAGAAATATCATTCGACTGCTACGCTGATTGCCTCTCCTTTGCATTTCAGTGATGTTTTCACTAGACAAGTTCACTTGAACTTCGATAAGTTGATTTTGATCCGTTCATCTCAAGTCTCCAGATCGCTTCTCTAGTTGAGAATTTGATGATAAATTATGACAACGTTTCCTCAATTGGTTTCACCAACACGTCAAAACAAAGATTGTATTAGTTTGAATCGAGGATGAAATCAGCAGTGAATGTGTATATGATGTCTGAAAAATCCTAATGTTTCTATCGCTGATTCGTCGGTCAACATAAATGCTTATGTGTAGTATGGCTTACAATACCCACTGAATAGAGTGGTTTGATTAGCAAACCGATTTATGAAATATTTTATTGATAGTGAATATTTGTTCCACAAACTATGTTTAATGAATGTTGTACATTTTAGAAACCCACCTGTTCAACGAATATTTTGGAACGCACTTAGTCGCTGATAGGTGCGCTGATGTAAGTTTGTAGCTGATCATGCCTTATGAAGTTCTCTTGAGCGTATTACGTTTTGTGTTGATCGATCAAGTAGCAGTTACGTGTTGGTTTAGAGAGATTATAAATTTAAGTTCATCACATGATATTTATATCTTCGTACCATTAATTCCAAAATTTCAACGAATAGTCCATCGATACTCGCTTTGATGACATTTATTGATGTATATTGCTTTTTTGATATTCTGTGGACCTAAACACCAAACATCAGTGTTATGTGGCCTCCGTAGCATTTGTTATCTACGTTTATCAGGATTTATTTGGAAGCAGTTTCATAGAAAAATAGTAGTAAGTTCTCACAAAGTTTCTATATGATACATACCGACGATTACGAAATATTTAATTGTTTACAAATAGACATTATGCCATTAAAAAGTACTATGCAGTAATACTGTCTAAATATTTTAATTGTAGCTGAAGAACATAATGTCGAGGAGATATCCCGGGTTTGGAGAATCAATGGAGAACTGTCTCTTCGATATGCATAAAGGGACTATAAGTATGAGTATGAAATACCAAGAACTAATGAAGAAAGGATATTGCTGTTTCAAACATAACATATACAGAAGAATATACTGGTCTATTGATGAATTATTGCGACCGGAAAAATATGGTGAGAATTTTCGAAAAACACAAATTTAAAAACAAAATTAATGAAACAAGAAAACGAGTAAAGATAAGAAACATGCAAAAGCTGAAAACATACAATACAGTACAGGCGAAAACGCGCAAATAAAGACAAATTACCATAGGCATAAGTAAAGATTTAAAAAAACCTGACTACAGAATGATATTTCGGTGATCAGTTAAAACGCTTTCATTTTTCTATTGAACTTACTCTGTCGGTTTATTTCTCGATGTCTTCCTGTCATTCAGATGGGGAGACGACAATGAAGAGCGAAACATCTCAACCTGAAATAGTGTCTGACATGGAAGGAATTTCTCTCGGTATTAGTATAGGGGTTGTGGAGATTATTAAGTTTTTGATTGAGATCATGGACCGATTGATGTTAGACCATCACAATTGAAAACCTGGAAGCACTGGACGGCTTCGTGAAGGAAGTCTCGGAGTTCTAGTGAGAAGCCGTGACCAGTGGAGTTAATCCTTGTCGGGTAGAGACAGGTATCTACCTCAGTACAACGGAAGTTGGTCGCGCGTTTTCGTGGACTGGTTGATGTTGGAAGCTATCACCATTGGATGCCGGCTCAGCGGTCCAGTCGGTTAAGCGTTCGCGCGCGAGACCGAAGGCCCTGGGTTCGAATCTCGTGAGTGGGATCGTGGATGCGCACTGCTGAGGAGTCACATAATAGGACGAAACGGCCGTCCAGTGCTTACAGGTTTCCAATTGTGATGGTCTAACATAAATCGGTTCATGATCTCTTCTCTGGGCATGTTTGCTCGACTGATGACTCCTTTCTCTCTCTCTCTTTCTGTTTCTCTCTCTCGCTCTGTCTGTCTGTCTGTCTGTCTATCTATCTCTCTTCCTCTCTCTCATTTGTAAGTTGAGGATCTCGAGACATGGAATAGTATTTTTTGTTGTCTAATTCATCATAGGTTTTCACAGAAAGACACGAGAGACTCTGTTGATTTTCACAAATATTTGAACTTTGATTTCAATATACATGAGTTTAATGCGCAGTAAGCCAATAGGATCACAGTAGACGTGTTTGACTGATTGATGAAGTAACTGTCTATTGATGTGAATATGTGTGTGATGATATTGCTTTGAAACGGAAGACGAAAACCAGTGATTTCAACAAATTTATCCCACGATGTTATGCAAAACCAAACAGCTCATATTATTCAGAATAATTCTTGATAAACATGTACCTAACTTGTTCAGTGGTTGGAGCTCATTCTCAGGAAACCCTAGAACCGTTGTTCATATTGATAGCCACTCGTCAACGAAATCTGGCTTAAAGATTGAAGGAAGTGTTGCATTAAAGTAGATTGTACCCCATATAAAATAGCTCCGAATTCTGTGATGTCTGGTTCAATATGTGCCTTATGACGTATTAGTGAGTAAAATTCTGTCTCTCCAGTCATCACACTTATAAGGTCGTTAGGTGTCGAATTTTCTCTAAAATTTGATTAACGTCTTATTTTGTTGGCATGGGATTTCTTATGATTTTCTTTATTGTATATAAATTGTTATTAGCTAGCTAACTTTTCTGGAGTTTCATTGTTTGAACTGACTAATTCGGTTGTGCAGCTCTCATTATTCTTCTGCGTGATATCATTTACAGGATCTTTTCAAAATTGCTTTTCAAGTTTGAATCGTAAATACCCATGACATGACCTGTTAGATTTGTGTGAAACCGAAATAACATAAACATAGTGTGCAGTAGAAATAACATACCCATGTGATATTATCTACAGTATGGAACCAGCACACCATCCACTTACTAAGGCTATTCTCAGGATCACCAAGAATAAACTGACAGTTCGTCATGTCCATTTCAACCACATCGCAATAACTCACTTACACAACAAGCGCTGTCAAATAACATCAACAATGTTGAAACTAAAAAAAACGTCTTGTATGTAGACGTCTGTTGTCTACGTAAGTCGAATATGTGACGACCGTTATTGAGTCTAACGCTGTTCATTTCCCTAAAATCACGACCTATATTTAGCAAACGTGTATCAATTTGTTGATTATCGGAATCAGTATTTCAACAGTCGATAGACTAGTGCAAATGTTTATCGGTTTAGGTGGCCTCATCAAACAACAATACAGAAAGAGAGTGTGTGTGTATTGACAAAATTGTTACGGTTGTAATTACATTCCATGATTTTCACTGTTCACTTGATTTACAAATTCACAGATTGGTCAGATGAAGAGTGACAAGTGAGTATTGAATCGTGGTGTTATAATTATATCTTAATACATTTCTAGTTTCAAGTTTCGTTGAAAACTGATTGTAAATACACAATCCATTTAATCATGACCATTTAGCATGGTAGTCACCGTTCACAAAACGTTATCAATATCTAGTCACAGATTGTGGATTAACGTTGTTTTGTCGCTAGCTGTTGGATGAATATGATTTGATCAAAATGTTTTGTAAACATCTTTGAAAGTGTATTCAATTTGTATATGATCAATATCCGGTTGTCGACATCAATGATACCCTTGCAAATCAGTAATCGTTCCAGTATAGTTGCATATAGATTCCGTCAATATGTGTACAATTATATTAAAATTATTATAGTGAAACAGAATACTTGTTTTAGTGTTGTTCAATTTGTGATAAGACGTGATTGTCTTCTATCGATTAAATAGAATTGACAAATCAAAGCTGAATTAATCGTCATCACATGTCTCGTCTAGAATATTCATAAAATTTCCACCCTCGTTTTTGCTATATTAGTACACATTGCATGCTCGATTATTATCTTAATCTAAAAGTATAATAATATTCAAAGATGTGAAAATGAATGCTTTCATGAGAATAATCTCGTGTCTGAAATATTACCAAGAATGATCGAATCCTTTCACATATACTTTTCTTTCAGATCACTCGTTTTCTAATCTCATCAACACCACTACCATCATCAGATAACAATAACAGTATTGTACACTGAAACATACTGATGCAATTTAATATGTGGTGAACGTAACAATATTCTTGAATAACATTTTCTAATTCTAACACACAATACATAATATATGGTAATTAACGCATTGAGTCTTTTTTGTCTACATTACGTTTGAGAAGGAAACGATGAATATTTGTTTGCGATGAATGATATAAACAATTACTGTAACGTCTTAGTAACGGTACATACGTAGACCAATTCGAATTGGCTTTTAGGATGACTTGTTTGTGGAGATCCTTCATTTTAAAGATATTTCACATGCAATGGTTGAGTTTGTAATCTTATTCACCAGATATCGTTGAGTCGGATGTATTGAGTGGTGGTTCATATGTAAGACGAAATAAACGATGTTAGTGGTACATAGTTCAATGGTTGAAGAGCATGAATATCCTACATCTATTTATTTATCCATCTCATGTGTATTTTATGAAACACTTTTGGTATAAATTCATCAGATAGTAGTTGGTGACTTTGCAAAATATGCTTCCCAAATACAGTGTCTTTCTCAATTAGTCCAAAATGTTTCGTAGATAATTGTTGGCCTGCGTTTGCTTGTTATTAATTCCTTTGATTCGGATTACACTTTTCGCAATGATCATTAATAACTATGCTTATTCATAGCCGATCAGTTGTCTGTTTGTGATCCGATAAAGATAAAAATAAACGACAGGCTTAATCGTATGTTATTCATCTGAAATAACATCGCCTTGTGAAAAGCTTTCCATTGTACGAGCTTTAAAATAGGACACTTAGTAAATTTAGCAATCTTATGATATTTATCTCTATTTAGCTCGAAAGCTCATCAAGTAAACATTGATATATGGAATCCATAAAGTTGGAAACTAACTGTATTGTGTGCCGGCTCAGTGGTAGAGTATTCGAGAACTTGCGGTCTCGTTACAGTATGTATTATGATGGACCATTCAACTAGTTATAAAACAGTCAGACAATTTTTGAAACATCTGCTTGCACAATCACCTGTTATTGCTCCAGAAGTGATACTAATTTTGATACATGGAGCGATCACTGAATTGAATAAAGTGATGCTGAATCTTCAATAAATGAGAAGAGTTTGACTCAAAGGCGTTAAGTTGATCAGGATAGACGTTACACAGAATTAGCTGAAATGAGAGTATCTTATCGAAATGATTGATGAGAATGGTCAAAGCGAGGCTCATAAGATTCCTAGAATCATCTAATTATGTGGCAGTTCAAAGTGCATCACCTAAGAAATCACCACAAGTCGAACTTGCCACCCATCGTATCAGGTCTTGAATTTGCAACGGAGAATCGAGTCTCGTCAATAGACAGAAACAATGTGATAGAAAAACAGATATTAGCAGAACACCGTGATATATTAGCTCTATGGATTTCAAAAATTCCATCACATAAAAATTTATTAAGATCATTGATCTATAAAACTAAATGGTAAAGTAGATAGTGCTAAACTATCAAATTATACAAAACAGAATAATCTTAATAAAAACAATGTGTAGAAAGATAAACAAACACAAAAGTTCAAATGCCTGAGCATATTACAAACCAAATGTGTGAAATATGATAAAGAAAACAAAATATTTATTAGGTAGAAAAGTATATCTTATACATCAAAGAAAGTTCATATAAACCGGACAAGAAATAAGTTGGATGCCAGTTAAGCGGTAAAATATCTACCGATCTAGTGCAAAATCAAAAGCATGTAGGTTTATGTTATGAATTTATGTCCGGCTTTAATCACGTGATTTATCCAACAATCAAAATACGACTTATACAATCTTAGCCCTATGTCAAACCAATGATGTTCGACCGGTATGAGCAGCCTAGCGCCCTTATTGGTCCTATTGTCCGCTTAGCCCGTCCGCTTGAGTCCAGAACACAATACCAACTTCTGCAATATGGATGATTTATTTCAAACATACTCGGTTTATATATCCACCAAACAGACCGCAATGCACCATAAAATAGGAAATAACATTTGTACGCAATAAAGCCAAAAAGTGACTGTAAACGTGGGAGACAGTAGTCAATAAACTGAGCA